TTTGATTGAATAAAATGCATGAGGAGTCAATTGCCGTAATCGAATACTCTTCTCTTTCCATCCGCTGCCAAAAGTCGAGTAGAGCAGTGTTTGCCAACCAGGGGAACGCATACCCCTCGGGGTACGTGATCACTTTGCAGGGGGAATGTAAAAACATTTAATAATTTATTTCCATAATCAATAACTGGGCACAGCCGGGCCAAAATCACAACAGCTGCATGTTAGCTCGAGTCTCATTCAACCTCAGATGGTTGATGAAAAGCGCTTAAAACTGCGATAGTGGTTCTGAACATTATTTTTCTCAAGTGTTTAGTTCCTCATATTTTAAGTTTAAGGGGGACTTATTCAAAGGAGCTCCTGTATTTATTTGGTGCTTATGTTATGAGTTAAATATCACAAAGCAAGGTTTTTCCTTAATTTGGATTCCGATGATTTCTTTATATTACTTATTTTCATGGGAACATGTTTCATTTGAGGTAAAAAAAAAAGAAGAAGAATGCCAAAGAATGAAATCAAAGAAGCGGAATAAAATGATTTTCGTTGAATAATCGGTTGCGTGGCGGCCCGGTAGCCCAGTGGTTAGCACGTTGACTTTCATTCAACCTCAGATGGTTGATGAAAAGCGCTTAAAACTGTGATAGTGGTTCTGAACGTTATTTTTGAAGTGTTTAGTTCCCCATATTTTAAGTTTAAGGGGAACTTATTCAAAGGAGCTCCAGTATTTATTTGGTGCTTATGTTATGAGTTAAATATCACAAAGGAAGGTTTTTCCTTAATTTGGATTCCGATAATTTCTCTATATTACATATTTTCATGGGAACATGTTTCATTTGAGGTTAAAAAAAGAAGAAGAATGTCAAAGAATGAAATTGAAGAAGCGGAATAAAATGACTTTCGTTGAATAATCGGTTGCGTTTATGTTTATTGATGTTTCTTTACTTTCGGAGAGTCATCATCATATATGAGTCAGGGGCTACTCAACTTAAAGGTTTGGAGGTACAGAAGCCAAAAATGGTTGAGAACCACTGGGGTAAAGCACCACATCTTTCAACAACACCCACTTTAGTCTGGCTGAAAAAGTGGGGTCAGGTTGCTGTGGTTGATCAGTGTTTGCTAGAGCTTTCACGCACGACTGTTGGGATTTTAAACGTTTCCAATAGAGTACAACATTTGTTTTGAATGTCAACACTTATTGTTCGCCCACGACTGAACGGACAAAGTGAACTAAAACCTTATCTGCATTTTATCTAAATGTTTGGCTTCCGGCATTTCACCCGCCACCTCAATCAGGTACACGAGCAGAGCAAGAATATTAGAAACAGCTCTCAGAATGATGCGGTGCAGTTTTATGAACAAACTATAAAAATAAATATTGATATATGGATATTTTGCTGACAGTGCCAACAAAGAAATTGCATTGCTATAGTTTTTTGTTACGAAAGACAGCTTGGTAATGAATGAATAAATAAACATAAGAAAGCTTGAGAAAGTTTCTCGGCAAGTGTACATTTACACATCACTATGATAATGCAATTTTGAAACCCAAATATACAGCATGCTGTAAAATTGCACTTTTGGATAATAATTAGAGCACATGTAGTTGGTGTGTGTGAATGCGGGACAGATACATGAAATAAATGATTGTACTCTGAGCATTTTTATATCTGTGTGTGAATTAGGATAATTCGCACTAACAATATTTTCAAAAGCATTAAGAACAGAAAATGCCTTTTTTTTTAATGAGAATATTCTCATTTGAACTCGGCCTACGTGTTTTGTAAACTTTGTTCTTGCGCTTGTTAGCTCATTGAAAAAAAATATATACATAGGATGCATCCGGACATCACCAATTGTGCACGAATCCTTTGTTGTAAGACGCTAAACATAATTCCTCTGAAATTCATGCACTATTTGTCATCGTATGTCTTGTCTGTCATGTTTGGATTGTATGTCTTGTTTGTGTGGAAAACTGGTCGATGAGTGACAATGAAGAGGATCCGGTTTTAAATCGTCTTGGGGTAGGATAAAATCTGTCCAATGGTCGCTCAGGAATGTTTTTCCCGAAATTAATCCATGAAATTCATTCATGAAAGCAAATGTAATCGCTGTTTCCAAGAGGACCATTTCACTGTGGTGGTTGCGGCACAGGGAGCAAAAAGTTCGCATTGGCACGCAGCCAAATGAAGAGATTTTTTTTTTTTCTTTTTCATTTGAAACACAACAGGCATCTGAATAAAAAGACAACAATGATCTTTTTACCTATCCCACTACAGGATCCGATAAGTGTATCTAATGGGTGGCCGATTGATACAATACAATGGAATACAATACATCGTTATTTATGTCGGGCTTTTCTGATTTTGTGGTTTAAAATGGGATAAGTATTAAAGACAAAAAGGGACCACTGTTTGATTGAAACTTCAAAGAGGAAGATATTAACCCTTTCAGGGACAGCGGTGACTACAGTGGACAGCGTATCCTGTTTTCAGGTTACAGGGTGCATGAAAGGATTAAACATTGGTTGAGACACTTGAATTACACTTGCTGTCGCAATGCATTTATCACTCATTATTTTCAGTTTACCAAAGGCTGGTTAGTAAGCCATTGAGTGGTAATATAACTCAGTTTTAAGCCATTAATTCACCTGGCTTCTTTATTCATTTCTTCATTTTCTCTGACTCCTCCATCTCTCAATGTCACCTCGCTGCAAAGGTTATGATTATCTCTTCAAAAATACATCGCTCACAAATTCCGTGTATAAACACGTCCCAACAGGATAACCTTGAGGATAAATTGTACACTGTGAGTGCAACTTCATGTATTGCATGTCACTTTAATTTCATTTTTCTTTATCAATGTCCGGCTGTCAGACAAAGTAGGATGGTTAATCACATTGTGCACCGCAATATATTTGGGTTGTGACTGTGACTTGGTGGTTTATGGCACCATCAATTCCAAAGACAGTCAGTGAGAGGCAGCTCATTAAAAAGACAGTGTTTGGATGATGCTTGATTAGTGTAGTACCCTTGACGAAAAGTTATGGCCTCAATACACGGACCATGTTTAGCAAGAAGCTACATTGAACAATGGCATTATTCATATTTTCCCATTGTCATGGTCAGGCTGAAGCCTTTTTGTCTGACAAAATGAGTCTTTAGCTCATTCGAATTTCATCGTAATTTTAAAGTATGACAGATGAGGAAGGCATACACTGGCAATCGCTGCCATTTTATTGCTATTATAGCTGCTCATCCACTTCATTCCGGCATTTTTTTAAATCCTGATAAGTCTACAAAGAGCAGGCAAAATGTTATGGATAACAAAAGTCAAGGCAGCAATGGACCCAAAATTGAATGGGAGACAGTTGGCAGAGGTTAAAGGGAGTGTTTAATTTAAGTGAGAGTCTGATGATCCAGCTCGGGACACACTGGTGAGGTTCCAGCTTAGTGTTGGAGAACTGACGATAAGTGGAAGGAATGGAACGAAGGATAAGTGTAGAATCAATGATAAGTGTAGAATCAAGTAGTCCGTGGTGGAAACGCGGAGCCAGGCTGTGCAGGGTGGCACTGGTAGAAAGACCATCAAAATGAAAAGGTTATGCACCAACGCTCAAAATGGCAAGTTTGGGCACGAGTAATGGCCGAATTAGCACTCATAATGCGTGAATCATCTGGCACCCGATTGCAGATCAGCAGAGGTCTTATCCAGGTGTGCAGTTAATCAGCAATCAACTGCAGGTGTGGGAACACCCTCCGGAAATCACCCCACCCAGCCTGACAATCAAAAGCAAGAGACAAACAGAAGGACCCTGGAAGTGGACTCGCCACAATAAAGGAGCAAGTAATACCGAATACACAGAAGGAAGAGGGTCTGCGACAACACAAAAATGTGTCATTCTAATATCAGTTCGAGTAGCCTCTGCCACTGAATACGCAACAAATTTTTTTATAGCGTGTACGAACCTAATATGCATTTGCTTGGGTGTGTCACTGTATCTTTTTTACTGTTTGAAGTAAAGGAAAGGCCAAAGCCCCATTCAGTTTTTCAAGCCAGCACTATCTTGCTCTCACCCACAATGGTTTAATTGCAAACTGGCACTTTCAAGTCGAGTCAAGGTTATTTATACAGGCCATAATCGCACAAAGGCTGAAAGAGCTTCAGAAGAGAGAATTAAAAAAAAAAAAATAAAGGCTGAAAGAGCTTCACAAGAGAGAATTAAAAAAAAAAATCCCGCAAGTCCTTCAAAATGCAGTCAACCACTTAGCCTATTGCATGACCAATTTTCTTCTCGTCTTTTCATCTATTTTGGAGGGACGTCCAGTTTTTCTCTATACACTGTATATATCAAAGACAGAATCAACTTATGTTTTACTGTAGAGAATGCAAATGGTAACATATGGCAGAATATAATATTATTGGGAGCGTGCGTGTTGTACAAACAAGAGTTTGCATGAAGTTTATGACAGGAGCCAATGCTCTTCGATGCCTTAGCACATCCAGATAATTTTGCCAGGATTTTATTTTCCTCACATGTTAGTACAGTATATTAGAGAGAGATACACATATTAACACCTATTCACACACTGGCACATTTTATCAGGATGGTGGTCAATGATGGACTATCGTGACACTGCCAGATGAAACGCGAGATGATGTTGGCAACAGCATCTGGCTGAAGACCAGCATTCAGTGTAAAGCCATGCAAACCCTCCAATATAGTGCTAGCCGCATGCTTGTGTGGCTTTACTCCGGCGTCATCTTTCATACCAAAGACATACATGTAAGGTTAATGTGGGACTCTAAATTGTCCATAGGTATGAATGAGAGTTTGAATGGTTGTGTGTGTGTGTGTTTTTATATATATATATATATTAGTAGTTTGATAATTTACTCCACAGCAGGAAGTACCAATCATCATTTATCCGGGTGATTCCCAATCATTGTGACGCAGCACATTGGGAAATGATGTAATTTCACTTAATTATTTTATGTACATGTAATGTATCTTTGTTTAGCTATCTATGTGGTATCACATAGTGACAGCCAGAACAATTGAATGTTCTTCCACTAGATGGCAGAAGTTAAAATTAACGAGTGTAATCCACCTGGTGCCATTCAGAGAACAGATAGCTCTGTTTTCAACTAGGTTGGGATATCCGGCTCTCTACCACTGAGCCATGCCGACCTGTTGCGCCATTGGCTTGCTCAAGGACGTGTTTTTCAAAACAGGCAGATAAAAGAATTACCTGCTTGTTCAGTTGGACCCTTTATGCTTGTCAAGGCAGTAGAGCGAGCCAATTATTTTTGTGCACGCAATTAAAAAAGTTAATTTGGACTCCTAAATGCCTTTCCCCAGCTGGCAATGACGTGAAGGAGATTTTTGCCAGTGCCAAGAGCGGAGACGAGTACCGAGTCTTGAAAATCGTCATCGAGGATGGTAAGCGTCCTCTGAGATTTTTAATTTTAATTTACAACAAGATCACATGTACGAGCAAGACGGTGACCTTTGACACATGTGTGCTTCTCCAGAGCAGCTGACAGTTGCCGACACCAAGAAGGCGTCAAAGAAGTGGGACCAGGAGTACGATGCCTTAGTGCTACCGCTGCTGGAGGACTCCCTCCCCTGCTACATCCTCTACCGGCTGGACTCCAGCAACAACCAGGGTTATGAATGGATCTTCCTCGCATGGAGTCCCGACCACTCTGCCGTAAGGCTGCTTTTACTTAACCGGTTCCAGTATCGTATATTGCCGGATTATAAACCGCTCTGGTGTACAAATCGCATCAGCCATAAAATGCATAATCAAGAAGGGGAA